CATTGTCATGATCCCTGTTTCTGTGTATTTATTTTTAGGGTTTTCTGTGTTCAGTTTCCTTCCTGCAGTCTCTGCGTCGTCCCCATTGATGGCTTCCCAGGTGTGTCTCATTCCTTGATTTCCCTCCATGTGTATTTAAGTCCACCTGTTGTCTTTGTCTCTTGTCGGATCGCAGTCGTATGTCAGTTGTTGTGCGTTCGGCTCTCCAGTTGAACTGAGAAGTCCTGGTCTGCTTAGCTCTCGTTTTCAGTCTTCAGTATATCAGTTGCTACCGGTAACTAGCTGTGTGCTAACTCTCTGCCGTGCCGCCTGTATCGGACTGTGTGAGCTTCTTCATTAAATCCATCATCATCTTTATCACAACCTGGGTCTCTGCGTCTCTCCTCACCACCACCTCAACCCAGTCAACTTATGACTGTCATGTGTGAATGTAGTAACATTCAAGCATCACTAATTCTCTTGTTTTAATGTAAAATGCTCTGTACCTGCTGCCATCTAGTGGTAAGAAAATGACATGATTATGGCGCTAGTCAGTACTACAGCAAAGACACTCAAAGATGGCATCATTTGCAGATAATTAATTCGTTTTCAAAAAATCTTTTAAGACCAATTACCGTATTTTCCGGACTATGAGCGCACCATGCTATAAACCGTACCTTCACATTTTTTTAACCTCCCCCCCCTGGAAACTTACATATATCAGCCGCACCGGGCTGCAGGCTGCTGGTATCTCTGCTGCTCTCGGTTTCCCATAAGGACCCAGCAGAGGGCTGCGTCCTAATAACTACTGGATATATTATGGACGCAGTCTTTCGTCTCCAAATCCGGTTTTGTTCACGCCGAGTTTATGTGCAGCGGCTTTATTTCCCTCCTGTACTGTCAGATTGATACTCCTCAACTTAGAAGCTGCATCATATGAGTTTGAAAACATTCTCTGTCATTCCTGCTGCTAGCATGTGCTTGTTCTAAATGAAAATTAGCGCCTTCTTCTTTGATTTCCAATTTTGACTTCTAATGATTCACTTCCTGCTAAAGAGCCCCCTGGTGGTTGAAGAAAAATCCACAGAAAAGCCGCATGTTCAAAGTGTAGGAAAGAAGTAGCAGCTTATAGCCCGGAAAATACTGTAGGTGAAATTGGATAATTTCCACGGCACACCTGACGATCACTCACGGTACACTAGTGTGCCGCCGCACAGTGGTTGAAAAACACTGTGGTAGTGGATGGAATCAGCCGCTTCTGTGATACAAAGAGGAGGAAGGGAATCTGCTTCCCTTAGGTTTCTGATGTTGCAGCAAGAATCCTCTCTCAAAGGAATATTGAGGCTCTAATTGTATAGCTAATTATACTGCCAAACAAATGTCTGAAATTCATAAAAATGACTTTCGTCATCTTCTAAGCACAACTGGAAATCTAAAAATGAAGATGTTTATCAGTGGACACTAAAGACCATCGGATGTCTTTAACAAATGGCTTTAAAAGCTCATTCTGGCAGCCAATTGTTGGCAACCACAAGATCTTCTGGAAACGAAAGACAGTCTGCCTAAAGCAAACTGGAACAAAACTTCTCACTGCAAACTTACTGAAAATGATCAAATACAAAAATTCTTCGTCCAACCAAGGACAGTGTGAGATCACAGATCCAGAAGTACAAAGACCTCTGATCAGGAAAGAACCGTCTGAATGCCAAGGAACCCTCCAAATTTCGGGAGCTCACTGTTCCATAGCAGTGAGCTGGAGATGAAGTCGCCGGTTCTCCTCCTCCAGTTTCTCTCTCATCTCTCCAAGTCCTCAACACCTACAGAAGCCAAAGCAGCTCATCAGAACCGTCTTCCTCTGGACTGATGCATCTCAAGCACCTAAACTGAACTGCCATGTATCACTTCTCTACTGAGAACCCAAAAAGCAAAACTTCATCAGAACCCCCTCCACTCTGCATATCTGAACTCTGATATGATGTTTACACCAGTCTTCCTGCAGAATGCTTTGGCCCCCAGTTAATGCGACGCAGGAGAACAATTTGAGGTTTAAAAAAAGGATTTAACCCGCAAATTGATCCGCTGTCTGAAGCAAACTCACTGTGAAGAATCATAAACAAAAACATCAACGTCGCCTGTGCCTTGTTAACCAACCTTCCTTTGACTGAGCCACTGGACTCTAACGGCGCCTGCAGCTGACCTGAAACCTTCACTGAGAAAGTGGAAAACAATTAAATGTTTTCTGCCATGACGTCTTCCACGCTGCTGTTTGCTTGTTTCATTTTTGTTAAAATTCTAAAAATTGTTTTAGTGATGTCATCAGGGGTGAACCTCAGTGGGAACAACTAAACACCAAATCCAGAACCAACAATATGCAGAAAACAATGACTGAATTTCAACAAGTCAACCATGAAAACTAGAAGAAATGATAAATTACCGTCTCCTCTTCCAAACTTTCCTTCATGGATCTGATCTGAACAACAACCTGGTTAAATCAGAACCAGCATCACTGAAAACAGCTGCGTTCACCCGGTTTCCATGGCTATAGTGCTGAGACTGGCCTAGTCAAAGTGTTCAATGGCATCCACATAAACAGACTGGTTCTGGTTCTGTTGGACCTCAGTGTTGATCCTGAACGCTGCTGCTGGCATTCTGACTAAAACCAGGAAGTTAGAGCTCAGAGAATGCACTTTAAAACACTGCTGGTAGTTTAGAAATCACGGAGTGGCTCAAAGATCCACTCCGGTTCAGAACCATAGGACCAAGCCTTTTCTGCTGAAAACTTTATTTAGGATCCAAGATGGAGGCAAGGCACCGCTTCAGATGTCGGTCCTTTCACATTAGTGCGTTGTTCCTGTGAGGCCCCTGCTTGTTTGAGGTCAAAGGTCACCCTCCATCACGCTAAGCGCGCCTCCCCAGTGCTGTAAATGGAGCCTCTGAGGGGTCGTGACCTCCATGTAAGGCTCAGGAGGTGACGGAGGCGGGGGCAACGCCGGCGCTGCGGGTAATTACAGCCCAGCCTCCTCCACCGCTTTGACACTCTGAGGCAATTTATTGCCCCGCTTGGGCAACTTGGCCACCCATCTAATTGCAATATTAGCGTGTAATAACAGTGAAGCTGCGGCGATCCGTCAGCGCTGCGATCTGCTGCCTCGGCAGGATTTCAGCCATTAACGGCAAACGGGGAAACGAAGCGACTGAGAGGAGCATCGGCCCGCATTTATATTCACACACAGCGGCTGCAGCAGGGCCAGCAGTTAAACCTGAGGCAGCATGCAGGTGTTGCAGCCTGCAGATGGCGCTGCACCATGTTAGGTGATGGAGAGAAAATTGAAACTGGAGTTCAGAAACAGACAATGTTTGATTCACTCCAACCAGAGTCCGGCTTTACGGCAGCCGCATCATTTGCATGATGGGTCACTGAAAAGCGCCATGCTGCCCCTCCAACCCCCCACCCACCTACGCAGGGGGCAGAGGGGTGGGAAAGGGGGGCAACACTGCAATAAATCCCTGCATTTGTTAACGAGCTCTAAAACGCAACTAAACCAGTGGAGCAGTAAATCAGCCGAGAACCAAGAACCAACAAACACCAAGTGTTCACAGAGAGAGAGAGAGAGTGTGTGTGTGTGTGTGTGTGTGTGTGTCTGTCTTGGTTGTCGGTTCCTGTGCCAGAATCGCAGCGTTAAATGCAGAGAAACTGAAGGAACAAACAAGTTTGGACAGGAAACACTGAGACCAGGGCTGGTTCTGGTTCTGGTTCTGGTTGGATCGGGCCTGGCTGTAGGAAGCAGATCTTCAGCACTGTCTTCAGCTTCAGCTAGTCCATCCGAGGCAGGACAGAACCGGTCCAATCAGACCAGAACACCGACTTGTTATTTGTGCACCGGAACAGAACCGAAGGAAAGATCCAAACCAAACAAACCAGAACCTCCGATAAAAAATGGACTCAGAACCAGCAGAACACAGAAAAACAAATCAACAGCATTTCTAACCAAACACCAGAACCTCCAGAACCAGAACCAGCAGAACCAGAACCAGCAGTCCGCGGATATTTGAGTCCCCAGAATGTGCTTTTATTGTGAAAGGCTGTGTGAGCCGAGTCTGCGATGAAACATCGAGAGGCGACAGAAAAACACATCAGACACACCAGAGGTGAGAGGTCGCGTGTGTGTGTGTGTGTGTGTGTGTCTGTGTGTGTAGGTGTGTGTGTGTGTCTGTATGTGTAGGTGTGTGTGTCTGTGTGTGTAGGTGTGTGTGTGTGTGTCTGTGTCTGTGTGTCTGTGTGTGTAGGTGTGTGTGTGTAGGTGTGTGTCTGTGTGTGTAGGTGTGTGTGTGTGTCTGGCAGGTTGGGACTTGCAGCTCTCTGCTGGATGAAGCGTCTCACCTGGCCACAGACCAACACCCCCCCCCCAATGCGGCGACTCGGCCAACGCGTCCAAGGACGGAGGGAGGGTGAGTTCTGCTGCTCCTGACTGGGTTAAAGCGTCTGGGTTTGAACTGAGCAGGAGGCTCCTGGTTCTGGTTCTGGTTCTGGTTCAGAGTCAGCGGCTCATCAGAACCAGCAGCTGTTTCCCGGGTCTCCGGGCGATGAAGGAGAAGCGGCGGCGGCCTCGACTTGCCGCCGCTCTGATCGTGTTTTCGCCGCTTCCTGGTGTTGATGAAACGGTTCGCAGGAAGTGGGAGGTGAGAAACAAGCGAGGCGACAGGAAGCAGGAACGGAGCCGCCGCCGCGCCAGCTGCACCGTGCTTTAATTAGGCCGCGGCTCAGACTGATGCTACAGCAAGAGGCTCAGAAACACATGCTGTTCACGGACCGGAACCGGGCCCGGTACCGACCAACAGAACCAGAACCATGAGCCCAGATTACTGAGCAGTCTGAAGTGAACAGAGACAGAAAGCTGGACCCATCAGAGCAAGGTCATGTGAGGTCATGTGAGGTCATGTGAGGTCATGTGAGGTCAGGTGAGGTCATGTGAGGTCATGTGAGGTCAGGTGAGGTCATGTGAGGTCAGGTGTGTTCCTACCTGTCGATGATGACCGGGTCCGAAGGCGTTTCGTTCCGGTTCCCACAGCTCTTCTTGTCGCAGCACCGACTGTGGAAGGAACAGAACCGTTAGAACGGGCCAGACTCTTCAGAACCACCTGGAAGCAGATCGGTTCTGGTTCTGGTTCTGTCGACTCTTCCACCCAATCTGAACTCATGTCTGCAGCATCGTCTTCATCTCCTCAGGAGGTCAGAAGTCCAAACCGAACCGGCCCGACTCATTGTGGCAAAGTTCTGACAGCAGAACCCGACCTCTTCAAGCCTGCAGCTCCAGAACTGGGCCTGGAAGAGTCTGGTTCTGGTTCTTCCCCATGTCGGCAGAACCGACCAGTCAGAACCAGAACAAAACCCATTCAGGCGGTTCTGGAGGTTCTAGAGCCTGACCGGGTTGAGCCCAGAACCAACCCAGACGGGCCAAGCTCCTGGTTGGTTCTGACCCAAACACATTTCAGGAGTTTTAATAAATGACATTAGCATGGCTAGCGGTTAGCCGCTAACACCTCCTCATGTTGCTGCAGGCGTCCAGAACCAGAACCCTAAGGAGCGCTGGGTTTCTGTGTGGGCGCTGCAGAGCTGGGTGGAGCTCAGTCCCGCAGGACATTTGGACTTTTAAAGTGAAGATCAGAACCGGAACCGGAACCGGAGCGGGTTTTAAACTCATGATGCAAAAAAAGTTTCTGTTCCTAAAAATCCGGTTAAAATATTTAAGGATAATTTAATGACAATGAAACAAATGTAAAAAGAATCAAAACAGATTCTATTAAAATGATTTGTTTAAATATAAAATGAAAACATGAAAATAAAGTTTGCATGAACATCCATGAAGGCCTGACATCAGAAGATTTGGAGAAAATGTTACACGTTTAAATTGTAAAATTATCAAACTGACTTTATTAAAGTTTGTTTGCTTCATTAGCAAAGATGAAAAGTGAAAGAATCCGAACCGGATCAGTTTTGGCTCATTTTGATTCAACCTTTAATTTCTCTATGAGGATTATTCAAATGTTTGTGCAGCCCTGAGTTTCGCCTGCAGGCACAGTAAGTATCCAGTTAGACGGAGGAAACAGGCAGCATTACTGATCCTGGATCAGAAGAAATGCATTTAAAAGTTCAGATGTAAACGGATCTGCTTGAGTTTGTTCCCATAATCCTTCACGAGAAGCTGCCTGACAGTCAAAGCGCAGGGAAAATTACGAGCGGCTATTATGAATATTTTCACAGTAAAATGAAATGAAACGGATCCGGCTCAGACGATCCGAGTCGTTCCCGTTTCAGCCTCAGAGGAAACATTTCCGGATTTGTTCCGATGAATTTCCTGGAATTTATCCATCATTAATAACAAGACATGAAGTCAACATCAGATCTAATCTCCCGACAAGCTTCTTCTTCTCTTACGGCGCTGAGCAGCATTAGCATATCTTCCGGTAATTCTTAAAAATTAATCACGCTGCATCTGACCCGTGACGTCCAATTACACTCCAGCATCGGCCCCATGCTGTCCTGAATCAAATTGCCATTTGACAAACAAGCGTCAAATCGAGGCTTCGAATGCCAAATGAGACGCTTTATGAATCATTTATCACGCTGTTTGATCTCTAAGTAGAGAAAAATCAGAAAATCAGCGCAGTGTTTGTGTCTGGGCGGCTGCTGCCGTGCGACTGTTGCCACAATAATTTATTCCCCAGCTACGAGGAACCATTAGTGAAAGTTCCAGGAGACCAATTAGCATTGGAAACCCAGTGGTGCTGCTGTGGTGACAAGCTCCTCCAAACCGCCAAAGAAGTGTTATAAACAAACCGGACCCCAGGAGCCTCTGCTGGGGCCCCTCCGGGGACCGGGGCCCCTTTCCAAACACCAAAACAAACCTTGGCTGAGCGTCCAGTGTGCCGCCTTAATGACGCTTCCCCCGGCCCCGGGCGGCCGACACGGGCCGGCTAATGACTGAGGTGTGTGTGTGTGTGTGTGTGTGTGTGTGTGTTGGAGGTGAAATAAAACAAATTGCTGCTGCTGTTACTCTGCTGGCTGCAGCTGCTACACACAGAGCAACCCGGCAGCAGCGCTCAGCCACTTCAGACTCCCCAGAGAACATCCGGGTTGTGATGTCACATCCTGTGAAACCTGGGGCGCCCTGAGGCCGTGACGCTCTGATCACAGCGCCAGAATCCACCGAGCAGGATAGAACCCGAGCGGTTGTGGAAGAACCGGGCCTTGTTCTGCAGCAGAACCTCTCCGCTGGCTGGACCCTTTCCCTCCAAATCAAACGGCTTCATGTCTAAAAGTGGAAAAGCTGCAGGAACGATCATATTAGCGGACTCATGTAGAAATGATTTCCTTTTCTGCAGATGTTCTCAAATCTGCGCTGAATCTCAGTTAGCAGAACTTTCATGGTTCTGATCGATCCAACAGAATGCTTGGGATGACGAGGCCTTGAATTATTGATCAGCTGCATGAATTTCCTGGCATTTATATCAGATTTTCTTGCGCGCTCTTTGCTCCATCTGACAATAATTCCAATTAGGAGCATTAATGAATCATTAGAAGCGCATGAACCGGCTGGAGCTGCAGCACAGGATCGATGCAGCGACGGAGCCTCACACGATTAAAACTACGACTTCTCCCATCGCTGCAGGTCCGGTCCAGATGTTCTGCCAGCGGCCGGGACGTCCTCACCCAGCGGGTGAATCAGAATCAGATCAACTTTATTGTTCCAGGCGCGGCTGTCCGGTGGCCAACAGGTGCGGACCCGGCGAGCAGACGTTAAACATGGCGGTTAACGGTTTGAAGGCTGCTGACCAAAGCTACGAGCTCCGGGAGGAGAGAGAGGCTCCGTCACACAGCACGGACAGTTCAGAAACATTTCGGAAAAAGAAAAAAAAAGCCATATGTATAAACAGACTAAGGGTGGGTTCACACTGCAGCCTGAAGTGACCCAATTCTGATTTTTTGTCAAATCGGATTTCTTTCGCCGGGCCGTTCACACAGCCACACATATGCGACCTGTATGCGTTCTGCAGTCTGAACGGGCAAACGACCTGAAAGTGTCTGGAGCGGCTTGCTGTCACCCGGTGTGTAACATTTCCCTTGGTTACAAATCTCATCAGTACCAGTTATAACTTATTCTTAGCTCTGATGAAGACTGATGAGATGTTACCATATGTACCTATACAGACTAATTTAAGCGAGAAGTTCAATTTTAGTAATTACTAACAGCAAACTTAAACACTTTCTGCAATCATTTCCTATGTTGAACATTTCCACATTTTGGCTACGACTTCCCCAGATAGTATCTAGTGGAGATGTCTCTATTCATTTTAAGTATTTTAAATGCTAATAGTTGTTTTCTAACTGTTCTATTTCCCCCTTACTTTTAAGGTTTTCTATTTAAATTCACAGTTATTATTATTATTACAAACACCAAAAACTTGTTTATTATCAATTCCACGGGCCGCCATCATGTTATCTAACAGGTAGCTTACCATAGCTTCCCCCTCCTGCCCCCCTGCCAGCATGAAGCGCTGCCTCTTCATGAACATTTCCTTCTTACCGGGCTGCAGCAGATAATCGATCTGTTCCTGGTCGCGTCTCTCTCATCTTCCTCCGACAGGAACCAGGAGAGGGCAGGGGGGCCCAAAGAGGACTGAGGGATTTCGATGGATAAACCTTATGCCCATGGATAAAATCAACCAATGTTGTGGTTGATAAAATATCATATTTAATAAACTTTTTTTGTGAAATTATGAGCGCCTTGGTCGCCCTATATGTGCATCAGTCTGTACGTCAGACGGTTCGCCGCACAGGAGTTCAAACTGAACGCAGTTTTTCTGTTCAAGCTGCGACATTGCTCAAATTTACACGCCTCGTCATACTTTTACCCGCATTTGGCCAGTGGTGGGTGCTAAATTACACCCCTGCATAGCTAAGCTAACAGGGCTATTCAAGTTTTAGTTTTGTTTTAGTTTCATAAAAACAATGTGAACATTAAAACTCCATTTCTGGTAAAATGCGAGCGCTGCTGAGCCGTAGCACAGATTGCATCTGCTTTGACCTCAAAGGTTAAGGGGTTATTGATAATTGTTCCAAGATATTTATAACTTTGAACAATCTGAATAAAACCTGGAGCAAGGCGGATTCTTTCTAAAATCGATTAACATCGTTTGGTTTTAGAGACGTTAATGTCCAGAAACAACCGACCAAACCGGCCAATGAAACCCTTCACCAGAACTTGGTGCTGATGTTGATGGAAGCTGCAGCTCATCATCACCTGCAGGTGCCGCAGGGCGATGTCTCACCTGTAGACGCTCACCTGGCTACCAGTTCTTACCTGCACATGATCTCGTGGGTGAGGAGGACGCGGCACATCTCTGGGTTCTTGTCCTGACCTTCATACAGGATCGGCTGCAGAAACACAAGCGGGACACGCAGGTCACTTCTGACAGGAAGAACATTTCTCTAACACTGCTGTTTCATTCAAACCACTTTCATCTGGGAATAAACCAGTTTACTGGGACACAAAAGAGTCCTAACTCAACAGCTGTCCAGGCCAGATGTCCCATCTGGTCCTCAGGGGACAGAGTCCTGTCCTGCAGGGTTTAGATTTCCCCCCTGCAAAGCTCCATGATTGCATCACTTCCTCAACCTCAGAGTCTGTTCCCTTTAGGACTCGTCTCCGTAAACGTTTTGCTCTGGAGCCAAATGCTGCTTGGTGTTTTGCTCAGAGGCTGAAATCAAACCTACAACCTTCTGGTCACAAGATGACTGCTCTGCCCACAGAACCAGAACCACAATTCTTATCAGCTGATCAGGACGGACACCCCTACCCTCCCTCACCCTTCCCAGGGAGTCAGAGTTAAGATTGGGAACCTGTGTGTGTGAGTGAGTTCTCCTTCTCTGACCTCCCACTACCTCATCCACCGTTGGAAACAAACCTCATGCACACACACACGCATGTCCCTGGGGGATGATACATTTAGCATAACGACTAGTTGAGCGTTATTGATCCTGCTCTGTTGCTCTGGACCGGAGCGGACAGCATGCGGCCGCATCAGGAGTTGCTTTGGTGGAAACACCTTGACGCTCCTTAGCAGCTTCATCGTAATGTCTGCCGCTGGTGGCGCTGATAGTTAGCCTATCAGAAGCTATGCTAGTCTAAAATGGCATCTCAAGGCTAAACATGTAGCAGCTAAAGCTAATGTCAGCATTTACATTCCTCACTAAAAGAAAGGATGGACAAGATGTTCTAGAACATCTCACTGAGTTGGTGACCAATTCTGGACCTGGGAGGTTCTGATGGTTCATGTGAACCCGGACTCTGGGTCCAAGCAGCGCCGAGTGTCTTTAGAGAGTTTGGGTCATTGGGGTCATGTTTAGGTCTGTATTTCACATTTCTGCTTTATTTCATGGTAAGTGAAAACAATCTGAGTTTTCTGCCACTAAGGAGAAAATTTGAGGAATGTCGACCAATCAGGGGTCTTCTCCAGGAGGTGAAGGTGGGAGCAAAGTGTGTGTTTGTCACTGTGGGGTGTGTGTGTCAGGATTCTTGTCTCCAGCATGTCGTCACGGTACCCTATTAGTGATTATTGATCGGCTGGAGCAGCTCGGCTCATCGATCGGTGACATGCAGACAAAGCAGAGACGGCGGTGTTGGTGTGTGTTGATTTTGTTGGTGTGTGTGTTGGTTTTGTTGGTGTGTGTTGGTTTTGTTGGGGTGTGTGT